ACTATGCTTGCTAATACTCTCAAAGGAATAGATCTCCAGAGAAAATATTATAAAATCTGGAGTGTAATTCCAAAAGATTTTTTAAAACTGGATAATTTATGCTGGAGGGACAGAATTAATGGGCAAAAAACTGAAGATTTTTGAATAAGTCAAAAGTCGGGCATAGTGGCTCACGCCTGTAATCCCAGCAGTTTGGGAGGCCAAGGTGGGTGGATCACCTGAGGTCAGGAGTTCAAGACCAGCCTGGCTAATATGGAAAAACCCTGTCTCTACTAAAAATACAAAAATTAGCTGGCTATGGTGGCGGGCACCTGTAATCCCAGCTACAGGGGAGGCTGAGGCAGGAGAATCACTTGAACCTGGGAGGCAGAGGTTGCAGTGAGCCAAAATCGCACCATTGCCCTCCAGACTGGACAACCAGAGTGAGACTCCATCTCTAAAAAATAAATAAATAGGCCGGGCGCAGTGGCTCATGCCTGTAATCCCAGCACTTTGGGAGGCCGAGGCGGGCGGATCACAAGGTCAGGAGATCGAGACCACGGTGAAACCCCGTCTCTACTAAAAATACAAAAAATTAGCCGGGCGTGGTGGCAGGCGCCTGTAGTCCCAGCTACTCAGGAGGCTGAGGCAGGAGAATGGCATAAACCCGGGAGGCGGAGCTTGCAGTGAGCTGAGATTGCGTCACTGCACTCCAGCCTAGGCGACAGAGCGAGACTCTGTCTCAAAAAAAAAAAAAATTAAAAATAAATAAATAAATAAATAAATAAATAAATAAAATGAGTTAAAGGAATACCTTCAGAGAGATAAAGAGGGATATTAGAAATATGAAGCAATAATAAGCTAGAGACAATGGTTATGAAAAACATAGTAATTGAAGTGAACTTAGTGGATAGGTTGACTAACAGATTGCATACCATCAAATACCAAAATAGTAAGGTAGAAATTGCTTGGGGAACTCTCCCAGAAAGTATCTGGAAGCAATAAAGAGATGGGAAACATAAAAGTTAAAAGGTATGCAGAAAACTCTGATAACAAAACCTAACAACATTACAAGAAGAAAGAACTACAGATAAATAAATATCCTTCATAGACATAGATGAAAATTCCTAAACAAAATATAAGTTAATTGAATCCAATTATGTTGAGATATTATAAAACATTCGAGTTTATTAAGGTTGCAGGATATGAAATCAAAATACAAAAATCAATTTTACTTCTGCAACCTAGCAATGAAAAATCCAAAATGAAATTAAATGAGTAATCCTCATTTAAAATCATATCAAGGCCAGGTGCGGTGGCTCATGCCTGTAATCCCAGCACTCTGAAAAGCTGAGGTGGGCGGATCCCTTGAGCCCAAGAGTTTGAGACCACCCTGGGCAACATGGCAAAACCCCATCTCTACAAAAAAATACCAAAAATAAATTTAGCTGGGCATGGTGGCATGCGCCCGTGGTCCCAGCTACTTGGGAGGTTGACGTGGGAGAATAGCTTGAAACCAGGTCGAGGCTACAGTGAGCCATGATTGTGCCACTGCACTCCAGCCTGGGTGACAGAGGGAGACCCTGTCTCAATTTAAAGAAAAAAATCACATCAAGAATAAAATGCTTAGGAATAAATTTAGCAAAGGATATGTAAAAACTTGTACACTGAAAACTACAAAGCATTGGTAAATCAAGTTAAAGACAATCTAAATAAAAGACAATCTAAATAAATGAATGGCATTCCGTTTTCATGGATAAGACACAATGTTGTTAAGATGACAATCCTCCCCTCACTTATCTATATATTCCACACAATCCCAATGAAAATCCCAAGTTCTTTTGTAGAAATTGACAAGCTGGCACTAAATATACAGAGATGCAAACAACCAAGAATAGCCAACACAATTTTCAAAAGAAAAGAAAGTTGGACTTACTATAAAGTCATAATAAAGTGTGGTATTTGTGTAAGGATAGACATATAGATCAATGAAACAGAATATAAGGTCCAGAAATAAATCTTTATCTTTGTGGTCAATTGATTTTTTAAAATATCAAGGCAATTCAAGGATAAAGAATAGGCTTCAACAAACGGTGCTTGGACAATAAGATATCCATATGTAAAAAAAAGAAACTTAAACCATTACCTTGTCCACCTTATGGATGATATCCTTAGTTCTACCACATGTGGGTTCCACCAACTGTGGATCAAATGTCCACAGTTGGTGGAACCTACAGATGTGAAACAATGGATGCAGATGGCAGATTGTAGAACTTGAGCATTCTCAGATCTGTGGTGGTCCTGGAACCAGTCCCCCACAGAAACAGAGGGATGACTCTAGATACAAAAGCCAACTCAAAATGGATCACAGACCTAAATATAAAAGCTAAAACTATAAAACTTCTAGAAAATATAGGAGAAATATCTCTTTGCAACTTTGAGCTAGGCAAAAAGTTATTAGTGTGACACACAAAAAAAATTCATTTAAAAATTGAGAGGCCGGGTGCAGTGGCTCACACCTGTAATCCCAGCACTTTGGGGGCGGGTGAATCACCTGAAGTCAGGAGTTTGAGACCAGCCTGGCCAACATGGTGAAACTCCATCTTTAATAAAAATACAAAAATAATTAGTCAGGTGTGGTGGCACCTGTCTGTAGTCCCAGCTACTCGAGAGGCTGAGGCAGGAGAATCACTTGAACCCAGGAGGTGGAGGTTGCAGTGAGCAGAGATCATGCCATTGCACTCCAGCTTGCGTGACAAGAGTGAGACTCCGTCACAAAAAATAAAAATAAAACTTGATAAACTGGATTTAATTGAAGTGCAAATTTTTTGCTCTTTTAAAGACACAACTAAGAAAAGGAAAAGCCAAAAACTGGAAAAAAGTATTTGCAAACCATACAAGGAATTGGTATTAATTATGCATTGCTTTGTATCAATTATCCAGAAATTTGGCAGTTTAAAACAAGAAACATTTATCCTTTCCCACAATTTCTGAGTGTTCAGAATCTGGGTGCAGCTGTTGGCCAGAGCCACAGTCATGTAAAACTGGACTAGGAGTACAGAATCTTCCTCCAAATTCACTCATATGCTGTTGACAGGCTGAAATTCCTTGCTGATCGTTGACCAGGGCATTAGTTTACCAAGGCCACTATAATGAACTAGCACAGACTGAGTAACTTAAATTTATTTTCTCACAGTTCTAGACGCTAGAACTCCAAAATAAGTTGTCACCACCAGTCTTGTTGTTTCTGAGGCCTCTCTCGCTGGCATGCAAGTGGCCACCTCACTGTACCACTGTATAGTCTTTTCTCTTTGCAGGCATCTCTCATGTCTCTTTTTGTGTCCAAATTTCCTCTTCTTATAAAGATATCAGTCAGATTGGATTAGGGCCCACCCTAATGGTCTCATTTTAATGAAATCACCTTTAAAGGTTCTATCTCCAAATACACTCACAGTCTGAGGTACTGGCTGTCACGGATTTAACACACAAATTTGAGGGGACACAATTCAGCCTGTATAAGAGCCAGTAACTTCGGCCCACTGCCACATGGGCCTCTTGGTACTCACAACCTGGCAGCTTGCTTCCCCCAGAGTGAATGATCTAGGAAGGAGAACAAAAGAGCAAGAGCCTAAGGCAGAAACCACAGCCTTTTTCCAAACCTAATCTTAGAGGTAACGTATTACTTCTGCTGTATGCTATCAGTAACACAGACCAATCCTGGGATGATGCAGGAGCAGTCTACACATTGGTCTGAACACTGTGGGGGTGGAGGGATCACTGGGGGACATACTGGTGCCTGTCTACCACAAACCTATATGCATAATATATGAATAACTACTATAATTTGATAATAAAAGGTGTCAATTAAAAAGGAGCAAAAGATTTGAATAAACATTTCATTAAAGAAAATATCTAAGTAGCCAGTTGAACATGAAAAGATGTTCAACATCATTAGTCATTAAAGAAATGTAATTTAATAACATTAACGAAATGTAAATTAAATTCGCAACGACATATCACTACACATCTATGATCAAATAATTGATAATACTAAGAATTGGCAGGGATGTAGAGAAACAGGAACCCTCAGCCAGTGGGAATGTAAAATGGTATAGCTACTTTGGAAAACAGTTTGGGCATTTCTTTAAAACTTAACATAAATTTATATGGCCCAGCAATTCCACTCCTAGTTATTTACTTACGGGAAATGTAAACACGTCCACACAAATACTTGTATATGAATGTGGAAGCAGAATTAATTATTCGTAATAGCCTAAACGGGAAACAAAGCAAATGCCCACCAACTGGTACATGCATGAAAAAACGTGCCACATTCATACAATGCAATTCATACAATGCAACTCAGCAATATCGGGCATTAGGCACTTTCACCTAATATATTTATGATGTTCTCTGAGAGAATCCTGCAAAATGCTGCAGAATCCTGCAGAATGCCTGCGTCAGGCTGTTACTTAGAAAGAATGGAAACAAAAATTAATGCCCTCTTTCCTACTTGAAACCCATCAGGATTCCCAGTTATCTATTGAGTTTGTGTCCGTCACTGCTAGTTAATTCCCATGCACGATCTCACAATCTTCGCAATGACACTGAGATTTGTATTAATAATACCATGGTCCCTAGTTTATAGCTTTAAGAAACTAAAGCTTGGAAAGGCGTAACATCAGGTGTGTCTATTTTCACACAAGATTGGATTTAATGGTTAACACAGATGAAGGTGGGTTTTCCCATTTCCAGAGTGTAAGGTTTTCGCTTCTCTCCCTCTGCCGGTCTCCTCCACTCTTCACACCGAGTAGGGCGTGCAGGGTAGCCTAGGGTGTGGCCCAGGAGGCTTCCCTAGGGCAAGGCTGTAGTGGAAACCAGGCGGGAGACGAGAATACCACTGGGCAAGTCACGCAGTTACGCTTGTTGGCCCAGAGCATCCGGCAGGGCCTCCGCAGAGCCGTAAAGAGTTCTACAAGTCGTGAAGTGTCGAGGCGCAAAAGCGTTGCTTTACGGCGATTCGAGCAGTCGCGTCAAGCTGACTATTCCGGGCTTTTGGCTACTTGCCTCTGCACGTGGGCCGCTGTAGGTATTCCGATCGGTAATTCCGCCTATTGGTGTGCAGCAGCCACATTGAAGGATAGAGTGGCAACAGAGGCCAAGTATCGTGAGTTGATGGAGTTTGCTGCTGAAAATGAAGGGAAGTCTGGGGGAGGCCTCCACAGCGTAGCTGAGGGGGTGCGGCTAAGTCCAGACCCTGGCAGGGAGGAAGTCAGGGACTTAGCACGGGCGGAGGAGGTCGGCGGCGGAGAGGAGGGGAAAGGGCTGACAGGGATGAAGGAAATAGGGGATGGAGAGAAAGGAAGTGGACAAAGGCCAGAGGAAATACCGATGGACCTAACGGTAGTGAAGCAAGAAATTATGGACTGGCCAGATACAGAAGGCAGATTGGCTGGCCAGTGGGTAAAACAGGAGGTGGAGGATAGGCCTGAGGTGAAGGATGAGAACGCAGGCGTATTGGAGGTGAAGCAGGAGACGGATAGTAGTTTAGTGGTAAAAGAGGCGAAGGTGGGTGACCCAGAGGTAAAGGAAGAGAAGGTAAAGGAAGAGGTAATGGACTGGTCAGAATTGAAGGAAGAGAAGGATAACTCGGAGATAAAACAGGAGGAGAAGTTTGTTGGTCAATACATAAAAGAGGAAGTGATGCATGGAGAGTGTGTAAAAGAAGAGAAGGATTTCCTGAAGAAAGAAACCGTGGATGATACAAAGGTGAAAGAAGAGCCTCCGATAAATCACCCGGTGGGTTGCAAGCGGAAACTGGCCATGTCAAGGTAGGGCATGGGGAATTCCATTTAGGGGAATAAAGCTGTGGAATCCTCATGTCTAGAGTGAAGGAAACCACACTATCAGGAGAAGGTGGAATAATGAAAAATAAGCACAAGTTTGGGTTTCTGGAGGCAGACGGCGTTCGTGGGGGTGGGTTGGGAAGTGGAGGGTGTTGTGGGTGACAACACAACAAATTCAGTGAAAATATATGAAGTTGGTAGTGTCCAATGGGTAATGGGCAAGTTAGGAAAGTGAAAATTCTGGGGACCAAAAGATCATTTGGAACTGGATCTGGCTTAACTTAATATGCTCTTTACTGGGTATTCCTTTGAGAGAGAATAGAGATGAGAAAGTGTAATAAAACCAACAATGACAACGTAGAGTAAGTTAAAATTAGGCAAAATTACACTTGACCTCAATTATCAAGCTTCTGCATGGGTGCTGTGAATATTTATTGCTTTTGATTTAATTTCCTTAGTGTGTGGATCATGTGACAAAGGAAATAAGAGTAGTCAGATTCTTGGGAATATTACCGTCTAGAACACAGTGGGCTAAATATAAGTAACTGTAGTTTGGTTGTCAGTATCCCAAGAGCGTAGAAGAGCAGTTGAGGACAGATGATGGGTTACATGGCATTTATAGATTATTTCGATGCTCATTCTAGATTAGGTGTGGAGTTCAGGAAAAAAGATGCTACTACTACTCTCTAAATTTCCTTGGCCTTATATTCTTTTTCTAGTGTGTGCTTTAAAAATATCTAAACATAGCTCATGGATTGGACTCCTGGATACACACACATAAAATCATTACCGCATTTCCAGGAATCACAAGTTAAAATATCAGTGAATAATCTCATTCCCTGATTAGAGTAGAAAAAGAAGTCAAAAGCAAGATGGGTTTTAAACATTTTAATACATTTTCCTGAGTTACATGTCACTAACAACATTGGAAATGTAGTTGTTTTGGGAAGGTTTCATAGAGAATTTTCAAATGATGTTCAACAGCTATCAAATATTTTTTCAGAGTTACTTGTCACTAAGTTTATAAGTTGGGACATTCTAAGTTTATAAATAAATAGAGTTAATATTTGATAATTTAATGTTACATGTGGGCTTTTGCAGGTGTGAAACTTGTGGTACAGAAGAAGCAAAGTACAGATGTCCACGTTGTATGCGATATTCCTGCAGGTATACATGTAACTTCCTACCTTTTAACCTGTATCTGTACCTTTCTTACCCTAAAGTATAAAAGTACTTCCCCTTTGTCTTTTCAGTTTGCCCTGTGTAAAGAAACACAAAGCAGAACTGACATGTAATGGAGTTCGAGATAAAACTGCATACGTTTCAATACAACAGTTTACTGAAATGAATCTCCTAAGTGGTAAGCCACTTTATGCATAGCAAATTGAGGCTTTCTGGCCATTGGTGTATGTCATTTGTTTATTCTTCTGTTTTGAAATTTTTAGATTATCGATTTTTGGAAGATGTGGCAAGAACAGCGGACCATATTTCTAGAGATGCTTTTTTGAAAAGACCAATAAGCAATAAACATGTAAGATTTTTTCCTAATTTCTTCCAGTTAGAAGTCCTTCAAATCAATTAGATTCTTTTTTTTTTTTTTTAACTTACCAAATAATATATATTAAGTGGCTACCATGATGTAGAGCTGTTCTGATTACTTAAGGATATGACTGTGACCCAAACAAAGTCTGTCCACTCGTGGAGTTGTATTTAGTGGGAGATACAGGAGATGAGTGGAGGAACAAATGTAATTTCAGGTAGAGTTAAGTTCATATAGAAGATAAAGAAGGCTCAAGAGATTAAAGAGAGAATGAAAATGGTCTTTGTTGGGGAGAGATTGTCAGGGTACTATTTTTGATACAGTGGTCAGGAGAAGCTTCTCTAAGAGATGATATGTAAGCAGTGATCTGAATGCTGAGAAAGAAGCTGTCATGAAAACATTTGGAGGAAGATTATTCCAAGTAGGGACAAAAGTAAAAGGAAAGACCTGAGTCAGAAACAAGGATGTCTGGTTTGAGGAATTAAAAGATTGGCAAGGTAACTGAAGCATAGTGAGTGAGAAAGAGAGTATTGAAAATGAAATTAGAGTAACTGGCTCTTTCCTGTAATCCAAACACTTTGGGAGTCTGAGGCCGGAGCATTGCTTGAGCTCAGGAGTTCAAGACCAGCCTGGGCAACATGATGAAAACCTGTCTCCATGAAAAAATACAAAAAGTAGCCAGATGTGGTGGTGTGCCCTTGTAGTCCCATCAACTTGGGAAGCTGAGGAGGGAGGATCACCTGAGCCCAGGAAGGTCAAGGCTGCAGTGAGCCGTGATTGCGCCCCGCACTCCAGCCTGGACAACAGAGTGAGACTCTGTCTCAAAAGAAAAAAGAAAAGAAACTGGTGAGGGTTTCTAATTCTAAGTGCAAATGGAAACCATGGCAGGGTTTTGAACTTAAATTTGCCTTTTGAAAAACCGCTCTTGCTGCTGTGTGAACTTTAGGGGGGCAAGAGTGGAAGACTAGAAGTAGGGAGACAAATTCTGCAGCTCTTCCCACGGTCCTTGTGAGATAATAGTGGCTTGGTTATACTGTTGGAATTATTGCGAAGGGATTAGATTCTGATTTTGAAGGAAGAGCTAACAAGACTTGCTCTTCTAATATACTCAGTTTTCATACTCTTACATTCCTTTTTTAATTCCTTAAATACTATGCAAAATTAAAGTTTACATATTTGGAATTTTTTGGCAACTGGTGTTGTAGAAATTCATGTATGGTGTGGTTAAATCGTATCCTGGAATTGTGTTGATTTTAGTATTGGAGTTGCAGAATTTTAAACCTTTTAAACACCTTGTTTTATTGGTATTATTGATACAGACATAATTACATCACACATATCTGAAAGAAAATTATTCATATAGCAACTCTTATTTTTCCTCAAACTTAATTAGGCATAATTAAAATTCTACCTAAAGATAAATTACTTTACAATTTTTTTAATTGTGAAGTATAGCATGTATATTTTCTAAAAATCACAAAATGGAAATACACAGTTTAATGAATAGTTATAAAATGAATATTCATGTAACTACCACCCCAGTCTAGAATTAGAACATTACTGGCTTCCCAGAAGTTCCATGCCACCCTCTTATGCCCTTCCCTGATCTTTTCTCATTTGTTAATATTTTTTTCTATCTTAGGACTGTACCACAATATGTGTATGCATTTTTTTTTAATGGATTTTGAATTTTCTGTAAGAATAAAAAACAGTTTAGAAAAAATGCCACTACTTTTGTCTATGAATTATAGTATGCATGTGAACATGTTTTCGTAGGGTTTATACCTGGGGATAGAATTGCTTTGTTGTGTGGTATGCATATCTTCAATTTGCCTAAATGTTACCAAAACATATTCCAAAGTGATTATACTAGTTTACACTCTCACCAATAGTGTATGAATGTACCTGTTGTCATATTCTCACCAGTCCTTAGTTTGGTAAGACTTTAAAAATTTTTGTCAATCTGTTAGCTGTGTAATTTTATTGTGGTTTTAAATGTGCAGTTCTCTAATTCCTGATGAGATTGAACCATGTTTCAAATACTTTACTGGCCATTTGGATTTCCTCTTTTATGCAGTGCCTGTTAAAGTCTTTTGCTCATCTTTTCATTGGTCAGCTTTATTTTTCTTACTGGTTTGTGAGAATTCTTGGTATTTCTTGGATGCTAGTGCAAGTTGGTTTTATGTTGTAAATATCTTCTTCTAGTCTCTGTCTTGTCTTTTCATTCTATAGTGTCTTGTGGTGAATGGATGTTCTTAGTTTTAATGTAGTCAGATTTATCATTTGTTTCCTTTATAGTTAGTAGGTTTATATATTTATAAAGAAATTCCATCCCTACCATGAAGTTAGGAAGTTATTCTCTCATAATTATTGCCTAAAACCTTCATACTGTTGTATTTTACACTTATGTCTTTAACTGGAATTGATTTTTGGTATCATGTACAGAGGAGTTCCCATTTAATTTTTCATATGGATAATCCACTTTTCCCAGCACCATTTATTGGAAAGTTCATCCTTTCCCTACTGCTCTGTAGGACCACCTTTGTCATATATCAGCATCCCTATGTGCTTGGGTCATTTTGTGGCCTTGTCTTTTCCATTTTGTTGGCCTACTGATATATCCTGCACCAATACTATGCTCTGTCAATTACTGTGGTTTTTTACTGAAACTTGTTATCTGATTAAGTCCTCCCACTTCCTTTTTTCTAAAGTATGGCTATTCAGTGGTGTTTTCAAGGCAAAATAATTGCGAATCTAAGCAAGGGATGGCCCATAGCCCTAACTGCTAATGAATTTTTTTTCTTTTTTCCTCTGTTTCAGTGTAACCATACAAGTTTCCTAGCTTGCTCTAAAAGTAGAGATTGTTTCTGGTTCACCCTTACCCTGAAGGTGTATTAGGAGGGTTGGTAACTGCTGTTATAATTATAATAATCACTACCATCACTGAAACCAAAGTCCTCTAAATTATAAAATTACATGTAATTTACTGAAACATTTTCCTACTTAGCCAGTGATAGCTGACCCATCCTTTCCCTTGGCTTATGACTTGATTCTGACTTTACATTGCAAATTCTAGATCCCTATTCACTTAACAAAAAACTTGCATTTATATTTTGCCTTTTCTTTGAGTGATCTTTCTTCTTCCTTGACTTAATAAAAATCTGGTATTACTTCCTTCATAATTCTGGAATTGCCCAGTTTAGCTTAATCAACCCAAGTGGTCAATGTAATAACACATGTCAGAGCCAGAATGTTCTCATATCCCATTTTGTGCTTCTCACAACAGTGGTTACTTTAAGCTAGGCCTTGTACTAGGCAATGCCATGGCTCTTCCCTTTAGTGAGCTGTGTAGTAATAAAATCAGAGATATATATATACAGCTAACTGGTAAAACCATCAGTAAAAAAAATCAAGAATTGTGTAGGTAGCCCCTGTGATTGCCAAATGACCTGTGTTTTTGTTTGTTTTAATCTCCATTAAATTCTTCTTTGGCTCATAGAACATATGGGTTAAAAGCACAAGCTCTGGAATTAGACAGACCTGGGTTTGAGTACAGGTTCTGTCTTTCTGGGATAGCTGTATGATTTTGGGGTCTCACTAATTCTTATTGCTAAAATGGAGATGATAATACCTATTCTCATAGTGTCATTGTGAAGATTACATGAGGTTACTGCTTAGAGCTGTTATAACACTTAGGTTCTCAGTAAATCTTAACTATTATTGAACATTGTTTTACTCACTCTTTAAATTTAAGGAATTTAAAAATTAATTTGTCTGTTTGGTTTTGGTTGTTAGATGTACTTTATGAAAAATCGTGCCCGAAGGCAAGGTATTAACTTAAAACTTCTACCCAATGGATTCACCAAGAGGAAGGAGAATTCAACCTTTTTTGATAAGAAGTAAGTTTCTAACTTTAGTATATCAGGTGTTCTGATTTGATCAGGATCATTCTTTAAGGTTTGGTTGCTATAGAGCATTGCTACCCCAAATGTGATTCTCTAAACTGTTTGTTATTGGTCCATGACAAGATAACTGTAGCAATTGTATGTCATGTAACTCTAATAAATATCTGGGTGCATACCAGTCACCTAGGTGTCTTGTTAAGTATGCTTGTGATTTTTTAGTAGGCCTGGGTTGGAGTTTGATATTGTGCATTTCTAACAAGCTCCTCAGTGATGCTGATTGTTTGAGAAACATTTTGAGTAGCAGTGCCCTAGAACACTCTCATACAATAGAAATAAACTGTTTCTTTGAGACCTAAGATACCAAGAAAGTATTTCAGGGACTTCCAGGACAAAGCAAGTAAAAGCAGGACTTCTGTACTGTTTAAAGGCAACTCTGCTTTTTTCTTTCTCCACTGGGTTTCCAAATAAGATTTCATTTAAAAGCTGTCAATGGAGAAGGGGCCTTTGAACTCTTGAGTACAGATAATATAACAGAGATTAGTTTGCTGCTGTCTGAAAATGTTGGTTGAAAAGGCCCCAAGAGTACAAAGGAGAACAGGATCCCAAAGTACTTTAAGCCAACTAAATTATCAGATAATACCTTTCAGAAGTCAAGATTTTGCATTTAGAATTTTTAAAAACTTGAGGGAGTCCCTCCCTTTCCAGCCCCTTAGTAACTGTGGGGCCTTGAACAAATCACCTTCCTTTCTCTGGGCCTCAGTTGTATGATATGGGGAGTTGACCCAGGTCAGCTCTATGGTGCCTTTCCAGTTGTACCCTTCCAAAAATTGAAAAGACAAAGCCATCAGAATTATCATTATTCTAGTGAAACTTCTACCTTTTCAAAGCTGTTAACATAATTAGAAGATGGTGTTATCCATTTATTTTATATAAGACGTAAATATTTGTAAAAATGGTTTTTCGTTTTTCCTGGTTACCTTCCAAAAGTAATGCTGAAGCAGGTGGATCCCTTGAGGCCAGGAGTTTGAGACCAGCCTAGGCAACATGGTGAAACCTCATCTCTACTAAAAATACAAAAATTAGCCAGGTGTGGTGGCACCCAGCTGTGGTCCCAGCTACTCAGGAGGCTGAAGTAGGAGCATCCCTTGAGCACAGGAGGCAGAGGTTGCAGTGAGCCAAGACTGCACCACTGCACTCCAGTCTGGGCAACAGAATGAGACCCTGTCTCGAAAAAAAAAAAAGTGAAGTAATGTCTTGTGTTTATCAAATGTGAGATGATTCTTTTGTGTGTTTTGAAACTGACATATTTAGAAATTGACATAATTTGAAGTTTATGGTAACTGGTTAGAAGTTTATGGTAACTGATTAGTGCCTTCTCAAATACAAAATGTGTTCCTGTTTTATGAAAGAAACCATTCAGAATGATTGTAATCAGAGATTAGTTCTCAGTAATGAAAAGCAGATGGCCTCAAGTATAACATTTTTGTGTCTCTAGATACATGAATGTATGCGGAAAGTTTTTACCAAGAATATTACACTCAGTATATTTTCCAGGTTTAGTATATTTGTGGTTGTTTTGAAACTCCCCGGGTCTCTGCAAATGGCAAATCAGATTCTTCTTGTGTTAGTCTTTTGTTCATAAATTTATAGAGATTTGGGATTGGTTTTCTTAAATTTTTAGTGTTTCCTAGGAGGAGATTAGCAACATAGTATGTAATAATAGGCTTTAGAATCCTTTCCTTAGTCTTTTGCCATCTGCAAAATGGAGCTCATGATAGCTGCCGTATAGAGTTGTGGCCTTTTAGTGTATTCATTCACATAGGCAGTAAGTGGCATATGGGAAGGAATCAGTTTATAGTAGCTATTGTAAAAATAATACATCTGTATCATTAAAAAGTTTAAAGGAAAAATATTACCTGTAATTCCACTATCTAGAGTTGGCCACTAATAAAATTTCATAACGTTTCCTTCTAATCATGTTTTCTCTTTTTTTCATGTAATAAAGTAAGACATAAAGTACTTAAAACTATATAAAGTGACATGACTCTGCTCAAGTTAAACATTAATTTTTTATGAATAAATGCACATCCTTTTTTCCTGCAGCTAGATTTTCCATTTAGCAATATATTATGAACCTCTTTTCTTGTTAATGCAAATCTGCCTCATTATTTTTAAGTAGGATATTCCACCTTTGACTATATCCTGTTTCATTTAATTATTCTCGTATTCATGAACACTTATTTTATGTCTTGTTTTTAATTATTACAAATATCACAGTATTAAACAGCCTTGAACAAATTGTTTTGTGTGCTTACATGACTTTGCTTTGTAGGATCAATTCCTAGAAAGCAGAATTACTGGATTAGAGAGTACAATGTATTTAAACTTTTGAGAAAAACTCTGCATTGTCTTCATAAAACATTACCACTTTGTACTTTCATGAAGAAAGTATGAGTGCCTATTTTAGTTATACCTTAACTTTTGTTGAATATTATCAAACTTTTTTGTGGGCAGCTTTATTAGAGAGGTTGAGCTCTTGGATTTTTTATTTCTTGTTAAGACATTGCCAGATGTCCACTGCAGGAGGCAGAATCACCCCCATTTGAGAACCACTGATTTAGATAAATACAGAAGATGTACTTATTGAATGTATAGTTCTAATCTTTTCTTGGTCTATATAATTAATATAATGTAGACAGAATCAGGATTCTGATGTCTTATACTTCACCTTTAAGATAAAAAAATAAAGACATTTAGAATTACTTTGAGATATTTGTATCTTATCAGCTGAGCAATAAGATACAATGAACACATGAAAATGAGCAAGGTTTTAGATGATTGCAGTGGTATTTGCTGGAAAGAGGGAAGAAGGGGAAATGAAATTTTTTCAAAGAATTCTGTTCAGCTCCCATGCCCCCAGTATTCTAAGAGACTAGTTTTCAATACTTTTTTCTAATAACTTTCAAAAGTTGGTTATAACTTTGTCTCTGATCAATGTAAATTTGCATGTTGCCTCTACTATTTGATTATACATTAGGTGACCTTGGGCAAAATCTGACTTACTGGGTTATTGAGAGGATTAAATGAATTATTAATAATAACTAAAGTAGTACCTGGCACATAGTAAATAATATACAGTGACATTGAAGGTTTACATTCCCTTCACTGAAATTCTTAGGAATATGCCACATTTACTGTATATTCCATTTACCCCTCATAGGTCTGGGACAGCACTGTGTAATCAAACAGTACTATTTGTGCAGTGAAACCTATAAATGTTTACCTTATAATGGGTAAATAATGATTGTAGACTGACTCAGGTTTTGCTGCTGAAGGAGTTAAAAATCTCTCAGTTTTGGAGATTTGGGAATTGTTGATATGAGAAGTTGGTCTTGTTCTAAGATTATTATTAATACGCCCTAGGTATTAAATTGATTGCTTGTTTAAGCAACTTGAACTGCAGTATAGTCAAAATCTCAAGTTAATGTTGCTTAAAATTTAAATGTTTTAACTTTTGAGGAACCTGAATGAAAAATCTTTTGTACTGTTTTTGTAACTTTTCTATAAAGTCTACTTTTTTTTTTTTAAGTTTTAAATTTAAAAGCCCCCATATGAAGTGTGATGAATGTGCCATTGTACCTGAATTACTCTGTAGACCTATCTGCAGGTGATTGTAGCAGCTGACTGGAATAGGTTCATTCTAATCCAGACACCCTTTATAGCAGGCATTTTCACTGACTCTCCTAAAATTATATGTGAAATTATGTGATGTGTGAATTTTTCTAAGAATAAGTACTGCAGTTTTCACTGAATAGTCAAAGTGAGGTGAAGTCTGTGAAGTCAAAAATGTATGCAATGGGGATGAATTTTAGAGGACTATTTTAGAGGAATTTGCAGGAGTGTCATAGTGGATGGCTGTAATCAATAAAGTTAAGTTCAGGGAGGCTTATATAAGTTGAGCCAAAGCAAGGCTGACATTCGCTGTTAAAAATAGAGAAGCTTGATAAGGAAATGTTGGCTGTCCTGCTTATTTTGGAGCAGATCCCAAGCTACTTTAAAATAGTGGCTTTTTCAGAGGTAATTCCTTTACCTCATTCATCTCTTTGTGGGGTCTATAGTTTTACGTTCACTTCCACCCAGTGCTAATCAAATTTGTTGGAAAAAATATGAAAGACCTATATGAAGAAAATGTAATTTCTCCTGAATGACTTAAAAGATGTATTTAAACTTTTGAGAAAAACTCTGCATTGTCTCCATAAAACATTACCACTTTGTACTTTCATCAAGAAAGTATGAGTGCCTATTTTAGTTATATTTTTTTAGTTTAGAAAAAAAGTGCCATATTCTTAAAAAGCTCAATATTGTTTCTTAAGTGATCTTTTAAGTCTGATGCAATCCTAATCAGAATATCAGTGGGATTTTTTTTGTTGTTATTTATTTATTAAGAGGACAATTCATAAATAACTGAAGTTTATTTTGAAGAATAACATGGCAGAAGTGCCTGGAAAAATCTGAAAAAAGAAGAATGATGAGGCTGGACTCATTAAAATTTATGAAATTATACTAGTTTTGTGGTGTTGGCCTAGAAATCTGTAACTAGATCACAGAAAATAAATAGTATATTTGGTTTGCTAGTATATGATCAAAGTAACATTTCAAAGTAATACAAATAATTACTTAATAAATGGAGTTGAAACAGCTTGCCATTTGAGAGGAAATGCTGAATCTTTTACTAAATAACATCCAGGTGGATCAAAATCTTAAAATGAAATAAAAATACTGGAATATTTTCATAATCTTGAAGAGAAGAAACATCCCATCCAGAAGCCAAAAGGAAAATAATTAGTAAATTTACATGGCAAAAAAAGACCATAATAAAGTCAAAAGACTGGATCAAAAAAGTCTTTAACATATATGACACAGAGTGCTTATGCTTTATTAAGAAAAAAAGACTAGCAACTAATTAGGAAAGGGGCAGAGGACTTATAGATAGT